CCATAAGTTCAGTGGGGGTGCAGCCAGAAGAACGGGAAGAAAGTGAGAATGAGGAAGAGGTGGACAGAGCTGCTAGTAAGAAAATATCACATGGTGCTGCTCTTAATCATTTGGAATCCTTACTAGACTATCTCGAGAGTGATGAGAACAGTTTATTAAGTGATAAGCTAATATTATATAGGCTTCGTATGGATATCCGTAAAAAGGAAAATGCCACGAAAAAGCAAACGACAATATTAATTTTTTTTTAAGTGTTAAGTGTGAATATTCGTAAAAAGTGTTGGATGTTGTTGAACACTGTGATTGAAATAACTAATTCACACTTCAGTATAATGTAAACAAAGTATTAAATAGGCCATGAGATGACATAAAAATGAGGTTGAGTAAATTTAAATACAGGTAATCCTATAGTATTATGAAGGTACAGTATTACAGTACTACTTTTAATAATGTAACGTGTTTGCAATCCAGAGGAGTCACTGCTATGGAAACGCTAGAATAGACCGTTACAGAGGAGACAACAATTGCTCCATTGTAGTTCTAACAGGAGTCTCCATGGTTATAACAATGGGTTCGTTGCCTAACAGCGGCCAAGGTTATAAAAGCTCAGTTTCGACGAGAAGTCTTCAGTCTTCATCGGGCCAGCTAAGAGGCCAGTCTTCATCGAGCCTCCAAAGAAGAAAGTCTCGGAATAGCCATCTAAGAAGCCAGTTGTGATCGAGCCATCTTGGAAGTCAGTCTTGGGATAACCGCCAGAAGAGATAGTCCAGCGTTGCCGAGTTATTGTAAGCAGTGATTGTGACACTGCAGACGGGAATGATTGTAAAGTGTGTAAACGAGCGAAGGAATAAACTCGCTATATATTGGGACAACGGCGTGAACTTATTTGTAGCGTGACACACAAAACACGCTACAATAACATTTGTCTTAACCGGGTTTTCGATTAATCGTGATTTCCATGCCCACCATTATCCCGGATAATCGAGAGTTGACTGTATGTTAAAGAATGTAAATACCAAATATATAGAATAATACTCAGCATACAATGATAACGATGCAGTAAATTTGAAAGTTGGTGACCAGTGGCTTTCAGTAGTAAGCCTGTATGGGACAACTATGATGTCAGAAGACAAAAGGGTTAAGAGTGTCCTGTAATTCTTATTCAGTTTCTGTGACCTAGCCTGTAATTTCAGGATTAAATCTTCTGAAATTCATGGTTTTCCAGAGTTCTATGTTCAAATTCTCTTCCCCTTGTAGAAATCTTAAATAGGTATTTCACTGTACATGAATTGTTTTGAATGTTGAATATAAAATTTGTGTGTGTATGCGTGTGCGTACGTGCGCGCATGTGGTGAGATAGCTTAAGGCTTGCATAGGCCACGCCACAGCTCAAGCGGTTAGTCGCTGGCTTCCCACTGCGGCAGCCCGGGTTCGATCCCGATTCTGGTCAAGTGGGATTTGTGGTGGACAAAGTGGTGCTGGGGGGGGGTTTCTCCAAGTATTTCGGTTTCCCCTGCTAGTCTTCATTCCACCAAATTCTCCATCATCATAATCACCCGGGGCAGGCTACAATAGGCCAATCAGTGGCCGCTGTGCCGAGTGGACCCAGTTGGACTTCACTCCCCACCACTTGAATAAAAAAAAAGGCTTGCCTATCTGTTGTTACTCTCATTACATAGGAGTCATTATTATTTACTGATTTAGGGCTGTCAGGCAGTTTTGAGACATACGCGTGTTCAGTTGCTATTGCAGTCTTAAACTTTGCTGAATACAAATTTCCATTGTGGAATGTGCATATTCAGTGAAGTCCTGATTTGAGGTATATAAGAATGGATCAGTTGAAATGCTTACCTGTAGAAACTATAGCTAGAGGTGGGAATTGCCGATTTAAAAAATTCCAGTCATTTGTTGCATTTGAGATCATTCAGAATAATATTCAGCATGTATTAATACAAGGGAAGATTTCTGAATGTGTGTGGGTAGAAAATGGAATGCAGGCTGGTAATATCAAAGTAATGGCTATTAGTGAAATGTATGAAGTTTCTGTCAGTGTTTATTTTGTATCTGAGACACAGATTACTCAATCAGTGGCCGATATAATTGATCCAGTCGTTGTTTAATGGTGAACTAGACAGTGATCATTATGATGCTTTGTTGCCTGTTTAGGAAAAAAGGCTACATATTTTCTGACAAGTTGGTTTTTATAGACAGTCATAGGCAAAAATATTCCCTTTAGATAGGAGCATGGCTTGTAATATATTATGTTGTTATCTGTCAAGTTTTGTTATCTAAGTATAAATGAAGCTGTCTTTCAGAACTTTTAAAGTTATTGAGGTTAGATATTTTTGATGAAGCTTGCTTTCATACACAAACTTTGCCAAAAACATTCCCTTTAGATAGCAGCATCACTTAAAGTGTATTTATTATTGTCTCAAGTTCAGTAGCTTCATATAATTGAAGCTGTCTTTCCAGACTTCTTAAGATATTGAGGGTACGTTGATTAACAATTTCCTGTTGAAGTTTCACCAGACTTTATGCTAGGTGCATTAATAAAATCTGTTTCTGAAGCATGCCTCTCCCTTCCTAGTATCCGCATTTTGCCTCATCAACAAGACACAGGAGGCTTCTTTGTAGCTGTCATAGAAAAGCTGCGGCCACTTCCATGGGAGGCAGCCGCCAAAGCATTGCCTGCAGAAAGTGAGGAACAAGAACAAGGAGGTAATGAGAAGGATGCTGCTAACAGTACCAGTGAGGATAAGGTTCCATGGGGACCACAGAGGAAGAGACGACGAACCCATGGTTACAAAGAAGATCCATTTGTGTTCTTTACTGAAGATGAACCTCTCTGGCCATCCATCAGGTATCCTCATGATCGAGAATGTACTTTATCCTTGGAACTAATTCCAGGTATCAAGGCTACCACTGTATAGCATGTTTTGATATGTAAGAGAAAATTCAGTGGTTGGTTGGTAAGACAACCTGCAGCAGTATAGACCATCCAACAATAAGTATACTATGAAAACTAGACAATATAAAGTAAATTATTATAGATTGATCCAGTCATTACAGAAGACGAATATGTATAAAAGTAAGGTTATTAGTCCTCAGGTAGGTTGGGCATGGTAATAACAGCACATTGAGGTGGCACAACAAATCATAGAAGAATTTGAGAAGGCTGAGCGAGGTCTACTGCAGGTCAATGCACGAAGCTGTTCATAGTTCACAATTTTTAAAGTAATTCTTAAATTAGTTTGAAATCAATTCTAAAATTAATTTAAGATTAACTTAAAAAATGGTTAAGTTAAGTATTTAGTCTCATGTGAGTCAATATTCATTAGACAGTATGTAAATAAACATGAGTGTAGCCACTTTATGTCCTATTTATTCATTCATTTTCATTCATTAGTAATCTGTCAGACAACAGGTCCACAGTCTCTTCCAACACCACATTTGGTATCTCTGTTTTTGGGAAGAGACTATCCAGGAAAAGTGATAATGTGGTAGTTTTTCCATTTTCTTTCCACATCGCAGTACAACAGCCGTTCAAAGCACTCTGGTCACGCCTGTTGCTATACGAACTTGAACCATCTCGAGCATCATTTGCTCTGTGCTTCAAGGCGCTGCTAATGACGCTGCTTCCGGCATCAGTTTTTCGTTTTTGGTGTCTCTCTTCGTCTGATGCCTACCCTTTGACCTGTCCAGCAAGGGAGGCCCTGCCAGTAGCTACGCTACCGCTGGTATAGCTCTCAGGGTCCTTGGCATACTCAAACCCTCTCACCACGATAAGGTGGAGACACCAACGAGGGGGGTCCTATTTATGTAAGTAGGAATATAGGAATCTCACATTGCAATTCATTAATTAATAATGTGTAACTGGAAACACCTGAAAGTGGATTAATTTCACCACACACGTATGAGCGTGGGGACCCACACGTGGACGAGTGTGGCTTATTGGAATCCGAGCCAAGTCGGACTCGCGAGCCAGACGTGTACGTGTATGGGCCCCCTAAGGGTCAAAACCTGTAGTGTAACTCAAACTAATAAAGTAAATTGTGGCATTGACCGCGAAATTTGTATTATTAGTGGCACTTATGCAACAGGCTGCAAACAATAAAAATATTTAATTATTATTTTTTATTTATTTTTTAGTTTTTTGTTTAATTACTTTGTCAGTATTGAGACTGTATAGCATCGATGATGGGATAACTAATGAATATGGAGCAATTGGTGGAATGAGAGTTGGCAGGGAAACTGAAGTACTCGGAGAACCCCCCCCCAGTGCCACGTCCACCACAAATCCTGTATCATGTGCCAACCTGGGATTGAATCCAGACCATTGCATTGGGAAACCTGCAAAAAAACCACCTAAATATTGCATGGCCTCGTATTTAATGATGGATTAGAAAGGAACCAGAAGGAAGCAGTCACATTCTAATGGGGGTGTTGTAACAGCAATTGCCTGGAGGGACTAACGAAACGCATGAAACCGTCGGTCAGGATAGCTGGTGTCCTGGCCACTATATGAACTCAGGACATCCTGAATATAGGTCTAGAGTGTTCCTATGAAACCAACCTGCCTGGGAAAACTCAACAGAAAATCTCTTCATTTGTTATTGTTTACAGATTAAACATAGTTTAACTATGACATTAAGTTTTAAATGCCATCACAAAAATGAGATCACAGTAATGAAAGCCATTTTATGTATCTCATGATACAGCATCATCTTGGCCATGATGTTTTAGTGGATATGCAGGTTTAATCTCTCAGGGAAAGTCTTTTGTCTTGTAACTTCATCCTTTACTCCTATTTTACTTTTTCATGTATATACTATGAGAAAGTATTTTGAAGATGGTGGTGGTGGGGAAGGGGAACATAATTCTTGAGATTTTGAATATGGCCATTCCAGATCCAAAAATGAAGACGCTTCAGGTGGACCTCACAACACAAATTATAATTTTCTTGAAAACAGCTGAAACGATTTTGATTAAGTTCCAGTAGTTTGTGAATATAATCTACCCAGATAAAACTTTGTGGGTGATATCTTTCGGAAAATAACAGTACCTGCATTAGGGGCCCAAATGTAAAATGTTGATTTTGTCAAGAACTGGCTTTGCTAGTTCAACAGATTTCATTGTTTTTATTCAGCAACCAGCAATGATCTACTGAGCAGCAGTTGATTTCATTCCAAGTCAGTGTCAGTCATATATGAGAAGATATGTGCTATGTCTTTGTATTAATTTTTTCTTTTCTATTGTTCCCTTCATACCTTTATCACCTCCCATCATTTCTTTTCTTTATACATAACAATATTTGTTTACCATTCATGCATAAATGTTGGTTTTGTTGCTGAAAATCACATTAGGAGTACATAATCAGTCACTGTAGAACTCTTGTTGCATAAGGTGCTCAAAATGGTCACTTTACCATCCATGCACAATTGGAAGCAGTGCTCCAGATGGGTGAATAATACTATAAGATGTCCTCAGGAATGGCTACAGTCCCTTGATGAATGTTTTCTGTGAAGTCATTGATGATGTGAAAATTATTCTGTAGTCCCTATGGGAAAACATCTCACAGGGTTAAGTCTTGGGACTTTGTCAGTGATAGGTCTTTTGAGATAACCTTGTGTCTAAAACACCTTTCACATTTCCTCATGCTTGTATTTAATGTGTAAAATCTTACCCTGTCTTTGTGCCCCCAAATGTTCAAAATGCCCTCTGCAAGTCCTTGGAAGTTTGCCACTATGTTCAAATGAGTATATAGCGGCTACTGCACTGCATTGCACTGCACATTGTGTAACTAAATGTTCCAAGAATTGATAGAACAGTCCTCTGCAGTTTTACGTGTGAAAAATTACGTTTACAAGGACTGAAATATGTAACTTCATTGTTTTATACCCACTTGTATGAACAGTTGTTTTATTCCTCAAGTCTTGGGACTCTAGGGAGAGGATCACCCTGTGTTTCCCAAAGGTCTGTCTGAATAATATCCTTCCATGTATTTTTCATTCTTTACAATGATCATGTTGGTTTCCAACCAAAATTTTGAATGTATTGTTTAATGACCCCTATCTGTGCTGATATTCTTTTCTGTATTATCCACATTTTTATATTTTGATTTCATTACATTAACATTATAAATTAGAAGGCTTCACCTTAAGTAGCTTTCTCTATTTTCCTTTAACTCCACCTCTTACAGGGTCAAATAAGCAAATGTCGTCTGGTTTTGTGGCTAAAGCATTTGGCCTCTCAGATAAGACTGTGAGTTCAGTGAGCAGAGCTTACAAAATTGTGTCACTGATTCCTGTGTATTTTGTTTGCAGGGATTTCTATGATATTGACTCTCTTTTGAGTCCCACCTGCCTGCTCACACGCTGCAATGAGGGCAAGAAAAAGAATATCTACTTCACATCTCTTGCAGTTCGTGATATTGTCATCAATAACCATCTAACAATCAAGGTAAGTCAGTATGTTCTTGTGAATATTTACAGTATTTGTGTATGTTTTTCTGATAATACCTGATCAGTACTTAAAGAGATAAATATACGTTGTAAAGTAGATGATATGAAATGTAGCATAGTACTGTAGACACATAGACCAGTGAGATTTGGGGTTCTGTCAGCAGTGAGAGTGAAGATTACAGTTTCCTGGGATTTAAAGCTTTGTAATCTGGTTGAAAGTTGCTGACATTTTGTAGCAACCATCCAGCTCCATCTTGAGATTCAAAGCAGTGAAATTGGGGACAGCAGGTTCCTTTGAAACACTGGTAGCTAACTAATAAACTATATATCATATCCCAGAAGATTGTTTTCTTGGTGCTGCACTACATGGCCAACTGTAAAGGGGGGCAGCAAAGTTCTGAAGAATTATTTGAAATATAGTTGTATCCATACCCAGTTTTAATTGGGAAAATGGAAAATGTTACTGAAGCCATAAAAATATTTTGTAGATTTTACATGACTGTATAGGAGCATTTTATAGCTTACTGTAGGTGTAGAGAGGTTATAAAGTGACTTAGGTTCCTGCTGTCACTCTATGCTGTTGGGAGGGTGGGAACATAAAATAATGTATTATCTATTAATGTTTCTACAAAAGAGTTTAGAAGAACCAGAATTATGTTCCTGTTTCTGTTTGACTTCCTAATCTCAAATTTTCATTTTGGCAGTAAGTATTGATTGTCTCTTAATGTTTTGCATATCACTGTTCTACAACTGCCCTGTGGAGTAGAGCCTATAGACCAGCAGTGAAAGGATTTTAGTTGATCATCTTCATTAACAGAATCAGAGGCAAAATTTGTGTTTCTTGGTACTGTCTGTGAGACTGTTGGTGATGACACAAGAATTTTGTCATCCTTTTTACTGTTTCTCTATAATATTAGCCTATCTGCATGGGGAGTTTTAAATCCCACCCTGTAACCTTGTGGATGGAGTTTATAGTGAGAATATAAATGCAAATATGACTGGCTCCAAAACTAGTAATACCTCTGTCATCAGATTTGAATTTCTGTTTTCGGAATAAGAAATGTGTTCAATCAGAATATCTTCAGTATTGACATTTGATAAACATGTACTGCGTCATCAGCAGCGACTTGAAGCACAGAGCAAATGATGCTCGAGATGGTTCAAGTTCGTATAGCAACAGGCGTGACCAGAGTGGTTTGAACGACTGTTGTACTGCGATGTGGAAAGCAAATGGAAAAACTACCACATTATTACTTTTCCTGGATAGTCTCTTTCCAAAAACAGAGATACCACATATGTGAGAGGTTTTCTCTGGAGACAAAACAATCAGGAGGGGTGGATAGAAGTGACCAGAAGACAAGAAAGAAGACATAAGAAGATGCTGGATGACTTTGGGGGCAGAAGAGGATATTCATATTTGAAAGAGAAAGCTTGAGATTCCATTAAGTGGAGGAACTGTTTTGGAAAAGACTTTGGACATGTCGTCTGATAGATTACTGATGAATGAATGAATGAATGAATGAATGAATGAATGAATGAATGAATGAATGAAACATGTACTAATTGATACCATGTCTACTAACAGTTGCATTTTCCAAGACTGTTACTAAAAGGAAAACTGATAACTGGTTGATACACATACCAAGTGATAGGAGAGTCAGTCATGACTCCCAGAGTCATGAGACAGTAGAATATGGTCACGAACTTACAGTGGGTGGGGAGGCAAGTGGAGCTCAGTGTCTTGAGCTTACAGTAACTTACAGTTACTATAGACTGATTATGTTATGGCTGTTACTAATTGTCAGTCATCTTACAAGCTGTTAACACTTCCTGCCGGTGAAATTTTGATAGAGCAAACATTGCTGATAGGAAGGACCTCATTATAGCACAAAACCATGAATGAATGAATGTATGAATTTATCTATAAGGGGTGGGCCTTCTCGGCCCTTGCATTGCGGCCTACAATGATCTATTGTGCTTCCCCTTTTGATTATCCCCTCAGCAATCCTGTGCTTCATTTGAAGCACAGGATTTTGTACATGGGGGCATCAAAATAGTGACTTGGTTCCATAAAGTATTGACTCAAGTGACGTAATCTTAAATAAGCTAAGGCCTCACATTCACACAGGATATGTGTGACTGTTTCATTTTCTTCTTGACACCTCTCACAAGTGGGACTGTTACTTAGTCCCAGTTTGAAGAAGTGTCCTATAAGGTGACAGTGTCCTGTAAGTAGTTCCACCATCCATCATAGTTGGTTCCTGTTTAACTTCAACAGTTCCTTCGCTCTTTAAGCAGAGGGTCCTTGTAAGAGTCCCTTTGCTTGCTTGAGGCCAGTCAAGGATCCCCTGTATTTCTTGTGCTTCATATTTGTCCAGTCCCTGATTGCCTTTCTGGCAACTCCTATAGAGATGCCACAGGCTGGTTCAGGTCCTATGAATGCATGTTCAGCTCCAATCTTAGCTAATTGATCTGCTGTTTCATTTCCAGCAATACCCTCATGCCCTGTCACCCATATCAGTTGTACCCTGTTGTGTTTGGCCAGTTCTGTGAGGGTCTGGTGGCAATCCCAGACCAATTTTGAGTTGATCTGGTGTTTGTCAAGCGCTTTAAATATAGCCTGGCTGTCAGATAGAATGTAGATGTTCCTATTTCTGTAGATGCTATCTAAATTCTCCATAATGCTTGACTTAATGGCATATACTTCTGCCTGGAATACTGTCGTGTACTGCCCAAGGCTGAAACTAAGTTTCCGCCTCGTACCATAGCAGCACACACCAGCTCCAGTGCTGTTATTTATCTTGGAACCATCTGAATACCAGACCAGTCCCCCTTTTCTATCGGGCCAAAACTCTTCTTCCCATTCACTTCTGTCAGGAAATGTGACTGTGAAGGGTTTTTCATATACATGTCTCAGCATCATTTTGTCAGACCCAATTTGTAATATGGATTCTTTTTTCATGTCCTGAGTTATGTATGCATGTCCAAAACTATCGGATCTAGGTTTCCATGGATCACTGCACTGCCTGGAGACGGTAGATTCCTGCCCTGGCCTCTGCCTCCAACTGAAGATGCAGTGGGGGAGTCCAAGGAGTATCTCCAGTTCATCTGTTGGAGATGTTCGAATTGCTCCTGTGATACCCAAGCAAGCCAGCCTTTAGAATTTGCTAAGTTCTGCCTTGCTTGTCTTGAGTTTAACTCTGGGCCACCATACTGTGGCGCCGTATGTAATTATGGGTCTTACAACCGCAGTGTATATCCAATGCACAACGTGTGGCTGCAGTCCCCAAGTATTACCAAACATGCTTCAAGGCTTTATTCATGACCTTGTCCAGCTGGTTGTGTAGATCCACATTTTCTTGACCTTGTCACTAGTTAGAGGTGAGTGGTCAGTTTCACACACCGGCCGCTTTATCCCCAGGAAAGAGCCCCTGGTACCCATTGGATAGGAGGTTGGGTGGACTTCAGAGTCGGTCTGGAAGACACGTAGAAGAGAAAATTCTTTACCCTACCACGACTCAAACTCAAATAAAAGTCATTACTTGAAATTTGGAAATGTGAGTCATTACGTAAATGAGGGTCACCCTGTCATCTACATGGATGAAACATACATGATGAGGAATTCAGTGGAATAAAAGCTTTGCATAGTGTTCACTGGTGGCAATTCACCACCATTTCATTCATTCATTGTCACCATTCTTCTCTGCTGATGGTGAGCCTGAGTAGCTAAAGCAAGCAGAACACAGTCTTTACGATGTTACTTCGGCATGTGACATCACTGTTTCTGTTACCAAGAAAAAATGTATGGCATTGAGGAGTGAAGAAGCATTACAATGAAATAATGCCTTCTATGATGTGGCACAAAGTAATCAGGTAGGTATAGCTGCCCCTGTGCACCACTTCACCTTCTCACTCAGAAAACCAATGTGCATGTTTGTCAACAACACAGCTGCCCATGGATTTAAGCTGAGAAGGGTGACCAATATGGCCAAAATATGGCAGGCACTAAACCAACAGTAGTAGATTAATTTTATAGCAGTTTACCCACACACGCGTGCACGCATGTGTAAATGCATACACACACACACACAGATATATGCAGATATACACATAGGGTAGTCAGAAAGTTTCCACAGTGATTTACTTTTAAGCTTATTTTGTTGGGCTGCGCTGATAATTTTGCACACAGGCAGAAGCACGAACTTCCATGTCTGTGAAATACTTCAGCCTTGACCAGCTAATTATAGTGTTGTCATAGAATTCTTAAAATGGCTACTCCACTTTCTGTTTGCACCAAAGAAGAGCAGCGTGCAGTGATACGACTTTTGTGGACTGAAGGAATGCCACATGTGCCACATGCGCATTGTGCAGACCTTCAGCACAATGTGGGAAGAGTGAAATGTGTACAAACAGATAACTGTATTTGAAAACAATGAAGAGCAATTAGGGTGCCCATCCACATACCCTGCAGGAGAAAACATTGATACACTGTGTCAGAACTATGGATAGCTGATGCCTGTCAATGAAGTGGCACATCATTCATGGTTCTGTTCATGGAATCATCCAAGACCAGCTTGGGTTTTATAAAGTCTGTGCAAGGTTGATTCCAAAACAACTCACAGGAGAGCAGAAAGAAACATCTGACAATCTGTTAAAGCTTATGGAACCCCTGTCATAATGAGTATGATGCTTTCTAGAGATGTCACTGGTGATGATGTGTGGATTGACCATTATGCTCTTTCTGCAGCATAAATGCTGGAATATGGATTGGAAACATTCAACATCACCAGGCAAAAAGAAATTCAGAACTCAACCATCAGTGGGAAAAGGAATGTTGACCATTTTTGGGATGCACAGGGGCAAATTTTGGAACACTTCCAGAAGAGCGACACAACAGCAAACAGTCTCCATTATAGTGAAATGTTTCGGGACTGGTTGAAACCAGCAGTTTGAACCAAACACTGAGGACTGTTCTTGAAAATTATTGCAGTGATGCACAACAGTGCTTGTCTGCAAACTGCTGCCCACACTTTCGGAAGCCTCCTCCAACTGAACTTTGAGGTGTTGGGGCATTCTCCATGTAGTCCTGATATGGCTTCTTCTGAGTAACACCTGTTTGAGACAGTTTGAGAGGCTGCTGTTTTGCCAGTGACCAGGAAGTGAAAGAAGTGGTGCGTGAGTGGCTTGTTACCCAACCAAAAACGTTTATTTTGTTCTAGTGGTGCCCATGCTCACCAGATTTGTCACCACCAGTTCTTTTTTCTGTGAGGCTACATTAAAGACAATGCCTACCACAAAATTCACGTAATCTTGGTGAACTGAAAACCATCATATCTAACATAATTGCTGACATTTCTCCCTTGATGCTGCAGGCAGTGTCTGCAAACCTGCTTCTTCATGCTCAGTTATGTAAGCAACATGCCTTTGCATACTTTTGAAACTTTTTATAACGAGATGCAGGGCACACGGTAGCGTAGTTGGTTGAGGTACTATGCTACAAGCCGGAAGGTCGCAGGATCGAATCCTGATGAGGTGGATTTTTTCAATTCACCTACTCATTCCAGCCACACTATGGCCCTGAAGTCGACTCAGCCTCTAACAGAAATGAGTACCAGGAATATTCTTGGGGATAAAGGGTGGGCGATGCTTAAGACTGACAACCTTACTGCCGTCTATTAGCCGACTGTCTAGAAAATGTGGGAACCTCAACATCTCACAACCATATGGGCCTTCACACCCTGTTACAGGGATAGCTTTACTTTTTTACTCTATAACGAGATGCAGTATAAATGTCTTACGTTGAATAAAGCTCTCATAAGAAACTCACCATACTGCATATATGAGTTTCACCAGAATGTGCCTAGCCCTTTAATACATTATGTTATTAGCATTCCTAATATTCAGTTCTCTTCTAAAACGTCGATTCTGGGGCATAACCTGTAGACCAGACTGTTTGGCTGGGGAAAAAATTATTATAACTATCAAGTAAAGGAGGTTGAGATAGGCAGGGCTTGTAGCACGAATTGGAGAGGAGTGGATACAGGGTTTTTGTAGGAATACCTGAAGGGAAGAGACCACTATGAAGATGTAGATAAAGATGGGAGGATAATATTAAATTTGATCTTAAGGAAGTAGGGTGATGGGTTTTGGACTGTTTTCATCTGGCTCAGGATAGAGACAGGCAGGCTATTGTGAACATGATAATGAACCTTTGGGTTCCATGTTGACTTGTCAAGAAGGACTTAACTCTGTAGAGTCAGTCAGTGTGGTTAGTTAAGATTTTCACATTTGTGTGTACGAAGAGTTGCTGTCTTCTGGTAGGCGATGCTGTGTAGTTAAGCAGAAGTTCACCGATCTTTTGGAGGTATGTGTAGTCTCCATCTTGAAGGTCAAAAAGTAGGTCAATCTAGTAACCAGGAAGAAGCAGGCAGCGCATAGAGCCCTCAACTTATTGCTTGCTTGGCACGCTGTGCAACCCTGAAGATGGAAGCAGTATGTTCCTGTAAAACCTCAATGAACTTCTGCCACGCTGATCATTGCTTTTACTGTTGTTTAGACTACATATGAAAATACCATATAGCAAAATGGATATGCCATTGATACTGAAAAAAATTGTATGGTGTGTTGCAGCTAATAAATACTGGTGTGAAAAGCTTTGTTCGCTGCGATAACAAGTCCATGGACTGTGCCTTCAGATTAGCACAAGAGGTGAGAATAACTGAAATTGTTTTGAGGTAGAACTAATCATGTATAATGTTTGCTTTCAGGGTTTAACCATGTCATCTATTGAAGCTGTTTCAATGTTTTGGTGTACATTGGGAGTTGCCATTTTCATCCTGATAGTGGCGATGAAAGTATACATGAGAATATTGGAATAGCTTAACCTATAAAGTGGCAGAACCTCAAAAATCAAATTTCCACATAGTTGCAGGAACTTGAGGACAGTAACATGACTAATGTTTTATGATAAACTGTTAGCTGGGTCCCTTGTCACCATGGCATGGCGTGTCCTGTCCACAGGTTGTGGATGTAGGAGATGCCTTCCAGGTATGGAGGGTAGCTGCTAATATATTGATTAAGCAATCACGGACAGCAGACAAGGGTTGGTCCTCCAGCTTGGGGGTTGGGCATGGGGCTAACAACTCCTCACCTTAAAAAAAGCTTGTTACGAAAATTTGCAAGAAGCCTCGGACCTGGACAGATTCCTCAGATAAACTACCTAAGCGAAAGAAAATGGATATGAGATTTGGTACTTGGAATGTTAGAAGTATTTATAGGGTAGGTTCACTCAGGGCAGTGGCAGAAGAAATCTCAAAATATAGGTTAGATGGGGAGGAGGTGGCACTGAATCAGCAGGCAAATATATATTTTTTATGGAAAGGGGAATGAAAATCATGAATTGCTTACAGGTTTTTTCATATGGGAGAGAAAAGTATCAGCAGTTAAGAAGGTAGAGTCGGATAGTGACACGATATCATATATAATACTAAGAGGTCGCTGGTGTGATATCATTGTTCTGAATGTTCATGCCCCAACAGAAGATAAAATTGATGACATAAAGGACAGGTTCTACGAAAAGCTAGAACATGTATTTGATATATTCCCAAAGTACCATATGAAAATTCTGTTACAAGATTTCATTGCCAAAGTAGGCAGGGAGACATTTTCAAACCAACGATTGGGAATGAGAGTTTGCATGAAATTAGTAATGATAATGGAATTAGGGAAGTAAACTTTGCCACATCAAACAATCTTACTGTAAAAAGTACAATGTTCCCACGTCATTACGTTCATAAATAAACTTGGACATCTCCTGATGGGAAGATACACAATCAAATAGACCATATTTTGATAGATAGGAGACGGCACTCAAGTATACTTGATGTCCGATCATTCAGGGCAGCAAATTGTGATACTGACCACTACCTAGTGGTGGCAGAGGTTAGGGAAAGACTGGCAGTGAGTTAGTTAGTTAGTTAGTTAGTTATTGGAGAGGGTGGGTTTCCCCATGCACTTAGATCTGTATTGGTCCATTGTGCTTCCCTCTATGATATTCTACCAGTCTCTATATCCTACCGGTACTGGTGCTTACCATCAGTCCCGCCCAGCCAGCGAGACCGGCTCTACTAGCTGAGAGGTATCTATAATGCTTCCCCCATCTGCCAGAGGTATTAGAGACTGCTGTTGGGTGGGAAACGTCCGTAATTTGGCTCAGTGACCTCCTTTGGAGATATGAGGTTCTTTTATGTGCTGTAAAGGTATGACAGGACCCACGGCTTAAAGTCCCTCCCGGAGGACTTGTTCCCTGAATTTTTCCGCCCTTAAAAATTCGACAACCTCCGCCGGGTGTTTGAACCCGCGTACTACGAGTCATGAGGTGGGAACGTTACCGCTAGACTACAGAGGCCGCTCTGGCAGTGAGTTAGCAAACAGCGCACAGATCTTGTGTGGAGAGGTTCAATCTCAAGAAATTAGACGAGGTAGAGGGTAAGGAGCGATATCGTGTTGAAATCTTATAGGTTCTCAGCTTTCGAAAACTTAGACAATGAGGTGAATTTTTTTAATTTTTTTTTTTTTTTACATCAAGCGTCTTTTCTGGATATGCCTTCATATCTCCTTGATTGACTCTGAATATGGCCTTCATCTCATGATGGACATTTAACTTGGTCATCATCTTGGCCATGTAGTCTTTCGTGATGGCTAGCATGCTGTCCATCATTGGTTCCGCTTTTATTTCTGTGGTGATATAACTACACGATGCAATCATAAATCCAATAATTCTGTTCAGTCGATCAAATCCAACCAATTCTGGCACCATTTTGTCATGAATTTATGGTTGTAACCACTTTTTGACACCAAATTGTCACGTATAAGAGGTTAGCTTGACGAATAATAATGTGTTCTAGATTTGATGAATGGATTTATCGGCACTTCCTTACAGTTACAGCTGATTGTAACTTGACTGCCCTCTTAACAATGTCTGTCTTGCGAATATCTCACTGATCTCTACTGCTCCTTTGATCTCTCTACTACACCCTGCAGTATGACTGACTCCTGAAAATGACTTTTGTCCTTTTATTACCTGGCGCAGACCGCAAACAGAACACACTTTAACAGTTGGTCTATTGTAAACTCCATGTCCGTTGTCACAGGAATATGTGTTTACAGAACCGTTGTCCAGCATCGGTTTATTTTGCGTTACCACAAGAACGCGCTTAGTAAAGCATTGCCTAGCAGATGGTCATATTCCAGCTTTCAGGCATCATGTCACAATATGTTGCCACATATTTTTTAATATTATTATAACATCCTGTGTGACAGTGCTCTGTGGAGTGCCTGTAAAAACAAATCAAATGATTTGAGGTTAGGAGAATGAGCAGGTCAAATTTTTGGTCCACCACAACAAATTCCATGACCAGAGTATGCTCTCATACTCGTAAGTACACTGTCTGAAACAGTTGCACATGGTCATTACATTAATCACAGTGTGCACATACACAGACACACACACTTTATTATATGTGCATTTAACTTTTTTTTTACTTTCACTTTATAGTAATTATGATTGTTTGGTTGGTTTCCAATGGCTGCATTTGGGATAATTTAACCCATTTTGCTTCTTGCTTCCCAATAGAGAGCACTCAAGTTCTTGCTTTGTTGCATCTCTTTGTTAAGATTAGGGCATTGAAAGAGGTGTTCTTTTCCCATAGATGATCCTGGCAATTTGCCCAGTGTACAGTCTTCTGTGTTATATATTCCTATCTTAAAAAGATGTGCTGCAGGGCAGTCATGTCCTGTATTCAATCAAAAATTTGCAACAGCTTCTATTCTGGGTTTCTTGCTATTAATTTCCCAAAGTTTTCCTATTTCTGACCTTTTCTTGTTGTATGATTCTTTGCTGATGGTATAGAGTATTTCTTTACTTATTTTAATTTTAATTTTGTTAGCTGGCGTGCAGGCATTTAAGATTGTATTTATATTATTTCACAAATTAATATTAGTTACCATACATCATTCCATCTCACTGAGAATACTCACAATACATGGCACAAATTTTAACATAGTAAGATAGTGTAAACTTGTGGAAGAAACTGGATCCATATTTCAGTATGACAGAAAAATAGCTGCAATTCAGTAATAGTGCTTCTGATGATCTGCCTGAATGACCCAAAAGGTTGAAAAATATATTGGCTTTTAGTAAATAAGTTGTGTCAATGGCCATTTAAAGTAAAATTCAACTTAACTAATCTTATTCTTACCAGGGTTTACACAGCATATTGCCATACATTGGACCAAAGCGGAAAATTTTTGTAACCAAGGCTGACCTAATCAAGCTTCTGATAAATGATGACCCTAAGTTTCCACCAGAGGCAGACACCTTGGATCCTTCGACTCAAGAGCAGTTGAAAGACATATGTAAGTAAACGTCTTACATTTACTGAGATGATGTAGCAAAGCGCACACAAATTATCTGTTTGTGTGAGACTGGGGCATTTTCACGGTTGCTTTTCTCATTTTCGTTCGTTCGTTTGTTCATCCATCCATCCATCCGTCCGTCCGTCCATAGTTGGGATAAGGCTGTGTTCCAAGCTCAGAGCATCTCTTAGGCTGTCCAAATCTCGCCTATGTTTTTGATTGTGTTTAAATACACTTGTAACCATCTTTCATTCTTTCACAGTGTTCAGTCTGTGACTCTATACTTGAATAACTTTCCTATTGAATCCAGCCTGTTCAAATTCAAATCCCAGGCACCAGTTCACCAGTGCACCTGTAATATGTATGGTGATACTGAGATTTGTCCTCATTACTGCTAGTGCATGACTGATCAGACGACAGGCAGAATCATTTCTTTCTTCTTGTCCATGTCCTTTTTGTATCTTTATTTTATTTTGGCCTTTCATTCATATTCCTTTTCCATCCTATATGTCATTGCTGTCTCTGTATCTTAGCAGTACTGCATTGGGTTTTACTGAAGTTTATGAGTTGTACAAGTATATAGATGTTTCACTTGTTCTTTTTCCAATTAAAAGTAACAGATTTCTTACCTAAGGTATTTTTTTTCTGTTGTGGCTCATAATTTTTGGAGATGGCTCCTGGATATACAGGCAATTTGTGCAGGCCCATATTTAGTATGTTGTCAAGCAGCCTCTGTAGTCTAGGGGTAATGTTCCCACCTCATGACTCAAGGTACACGGGTTCAAACCTGGTGGAGGTCGTGGAATTTTTAAGGGAAGAAAAATTCAAGGAACAAGTCCTCTGGGAGGGACTTTAAGCCGTGGGTCCTGTGTCGTAGATTTACAGCACGTGAAAGATCCTCATGTCTCTAGGAGACCTCTGAGCAACAATTTCCCGCCCAAGTAGTTTCCAATGCCTCTGGTAGATGGGGGAAATATCAGGTACCGACGGCCGACCTCGTTGGCTGAACGGGGCTGATAGCACGCACCAGTACTGGTAGGGTATGGGGACAGTAGAAATTAAAGGGGGATGCACAATGGACCAATAACTGGTCTAAGTGCATGGGGAAACCCACCCCCTCTAATAATAATAATAATAGTATGTCGTCACAATTTAGTTACTAGAAATGGGGTTTGGATTAGTAATTGATTATACTGGACTCATAGAACTCATAACTACAACTCTTGCTAATTTGTGTGCTTGACTTCACAGCTCTTGTTACATCTTTTGTGTCTTCACTAGCCATTGCCTTGTAATGGATTCCAATAATCTTACACCTAACCCATGGTGGCACCTCGAATTCTGTCTCCTGTCTCAGCTCTCCATATATGTAACCTGGGCATTGATACTACAGAGAACACTCTTTTTGAGTGTCTCTAACTATTGTATCAATCATCGCCTGACAATGAGCTGGGCATTGTAATGTATTTACCCAGCTGTTACCATGCAACTGACAATGATTAGGTAGTTATGTCACAATATACGTAGCTGATTCCAAAAGTAAGGTCTCCAAAGCGCTGGGTAATTTTTCGTGCGGCTGTTGGCAACCCTGTTGCATTCGTTGCTTCCCCCACTCCCCCCAATACCACCAAGCATGCGCGCACGTAGCTAGGACGCTCAGTCTTGGCACGGTTGCCGTTAGAAATGGAGCTCCCGATTACTAAAACCGCGAAGTGTGAGATTCGCGCAGTTATTCGGTTTTTGAACGCAAAAGGGACTAAACCAATTGAAATTCATCGTCAATTGGTGGAAGTGTATGGCGAGTCATGCATGGACATAAAGAACATCCACAAGTGGTGTAGGGAGTTTGAATCTGGTCGTACTGCAATACACGACGAAGAAAGAACTGGGAGACCGTCAATTTCTGATGAGACAGTCGCGAAGATTGAGTGAATCATGCGTCAGGATAGGCACATCACACTCGATGATCTCTGCATTTCGGTTCCCGAGGTTTCCCGAACCACCATTTATCGGGTTTTGACAGAGAAGTTGAATTATCGGAAGGTGTGCGCAAGATGGGTCCCGCGAATGCTCACGGAAGACCACAAACGGCAGAGAGTTGACTCTTCCCGTGAATTTCTTCGCCGCTATGCTGACGAAAAGGACAACTTCTTGAATTCAATTGTCACAGGCGACGAAACCTGGGCGTACCACTTCACACCTGAGACAAAACAACAATCACGTCAGTGGCGGCATTCCTCTTCGCCTAAGCCTCGAAAATTCAAGCAAACACAGTCTGCCGGTAAAGTCATGGCAACTGTGTTTTGGGATCGAAACGGGGTATTGTTGGTTGACTTTATGGAAACTGGGACCACAATAAACGCTGAGAGATATTGTGAGACACTGAGAAAACTCAGGCGGGCGATTCAGAACTGGAGAAGAGGGATGTTGACCAAGGGCGTAAGCATTCTCCACGATAACGCTCGCCCCCATGCTGCCCGACAAACTGTCACTCAACTGCAACAGTTTGGATGGAACATCATCACCCATCCACCCTATAGTCCGGACTTGGCGCCCAGTGACTACCATCTCTTTCCGAAGTTGAAAGAACATTTGTCTGGAAAGCGCTTCAACAACGACGATGAGGTGAAAGCTGAGGTTCGAAGTTTCCTGAACGGCATGGAGGTGAACTGGTATGACATGGGCATACAAAAACTGCCACTGCGCCTACAAAAATGCATCGACCGAAATGGCGATTATGTAGAGAAATGAGTACATGTTCAAGATTCAACTGATATATCCAAAATTGAAAATAAATGTTTATTTTATATTTTCAAACATAGGAGACCCTACTTTTGGAATTACCCTCGTATTTACAGACACTGATGTTTTCATTTTCCCTTTTAAAGACTCCCATGTAGCCTTGTGCTGATCACAGTATTTTGAAAAAAAAAAATACTGCTTTTAAGGGCTTCCTGTTGCCACTGGATACAAGATGTGGCTCCTCTCTTGGACCTTCTTGAACATACTATGTTGCACAACACAAAGTTTTTGGAGAGAATTTGCTTCACCTTTTTTTCTGCAACCAAAAAATGTTGCAGTTGTCCAATGCATACCATAAGAGAGGCGCAGGATAATTTGTAATCTGATTGAGAATCAGTTGAACTGTGTTGTGAGACCCATCCAGACATTGAAGTCTGTGCCATGATCAAGAAATGGTTAAGTGTAGAAATTACATTTTATTTTTTGTTGAAAATGTGACATAGCACAAGGCAGCTGTGTGTTGGTGTATCAAGGCGAAGATAACCCTTCTTCTGGTGGGGACATAACACGTCTCACCTTGGCGATGGTGGGTTGGCGAGGTGCTAAATCCGTGCGAGCCTATGTGCCTATCAGTGACTGTGTGCATTACCTGCGTCTCTGTGGGGCTGATGTTTCCAAGTATGGTGAGTGTCATGACCTTTTGTGAGAATAAGGGTAACATGGTATTGTACAAGGGGCAAAATATATGATAATGCATCTTTTTTATATCCATCCCCACTCCTACCAGCTGCAAATTAGTTTGCATGAAAATTTAAAAGCGACACTTTGGTGTCAGAAAATATAAAACTCCCACTATCTGTTGTTCCCATATGCAGACAACTAGAAGAGGAGTGAAAGAATGTAAAAAGTTAAATATAACCCTAATCATGCAAACATAACATCAGTGATGCTGTGCTGTTACTAGTATAATGTTACATCAATGGGGAGAAAATTTTCATGACCATTACATGAGAATCATCCTCTTCCCACAAATGTTAACTGTATCGGAATTATGAGTACACTGCTTTAATATTTGCAATAGCTACAAAAACAGAAGGCTCATAAGGATACCCCCTTCAGTACTTCAGCACACATCTCATACAACACCCTTAAGGCATCACGAACGACCAGACAGACTTGTTAAGTACAATTAAACCACAGGATGATTATCTAAATCACTGCATACTCTACTGCATACTCGTAAATACCACATTCAGAAAAGTGCCATAACCTTTTAACAATTATATATACTTGTCAGACCAACATTTTAAAAAAATTTTATAAAATTTTTGCAATTTATAATTAACTTGGCCTTTTTACAATATGTTTCAACACATGATAAAATTTTAAGGCATTCTACTATGATATTTGTCAGTAACATTTACATCAGTTGCACAATATGGATCCATATTTAGACAACTAATTATATCTTGATTTACAGTTCGTATATGAATGCCTGATGATGACCTATATACAGCTGTCCCAGGAGTTTGGTGCCATACTTCAGTAGCCAAGTTTAAACAAAATGATATTAAATGCATCCCTAGTGCTGCTATTTTACATTTGTGGACATGGGTTCCTATTTCAAAGTTGCTCTATAAGGAACCCTCAGTATGCTCCTAAAGTATGGCACCAAACACCTGGGACATTCTCTATAGTTAGAAACATGTAGCATAAAATCTATGCATGTATAAATAAATACATATTCATCTTCAGTTGAAAACGATCTCTTTAATTTATTGTTGTGTTAACGGTCATATTGATAGATAGAAACACAACATGGCAGTAAATTCATGAAATTGATAGAGGAGAATTTCTAGTAGTTGACTGATGCCTGAAAATTGTGATCGGAAGCCTACTAGCAGGACAGAAAATGTCAAATTCACCTTCAAGTGGTACACCTCTATTTTAATAAACAAGTTCTACCAGTTTAGTGGTGGTGCAACCTTTGTATCTGGTGTGGTGGAATGGTGCTTCCAATTCAAGGCAGATGTATCTAGTGTGCAGGAAATGCTATGATAATTAAGGTTATGTTATTTTAAGATTACACCAGTATCTTTATATTCACTATTTTGCTATTCATGGTCATGCATCCAATGTGCTGTCACAGATTTTCTTTGAAAGGTTTACCTGTGGTGCCACGTAACACTTCCTCTTTGGAACTACTATGTTCTATCGCTATGAGATTGTTTGTGACATACTGTGAATCTATTATGTGATAAGTTAAAAAAGCAACACTGTCTTTGAGGGGTAGATGTTCATAAAATACTGTTGTGGGTCCCTTGCCACCACGGCATGGTGCATCCTCAGGTTGCCGATGGAGGAGATGCCCTCCAGTTTTGGAGGGAAGCTGCGAATATAATGTGACATGAACAGTGCAATGCTTGGTAACCCCCCCCCCCTTCCAGACGTGACCTAACAGCATCAGAGCAACTGCCGCTGCTACGGTAACAGGCCAGACAACACTCCATCCCCCTTCCCCGCAGTGACGTAACAGGGGACACCGCTGTTGACATGAAGCAACAGGGAACGATATAAAAAGCCGGCTGAGCAGTATGTGAACACAGTGCGTGATTGAGTAATGAGTCAGTTGCAGTCTAGCATTCACCGGAGTGAGTTGAAGCCCATTCTTATTGAGTTGTATCAAGTGAGTGGCAGTGACTACAGCAGGAGAAGTATTTATAATATTGCAGATGGCAGTAGTTTTAAAATTATAAACTGTATAAATGTAAGAGTGACTGTGCAATAAATTCGCTAGATCCAAGAAGTAATTCTCACGTGACATATACCCAACTCGTGACATATACCCAGCACGTGACAGTATTGAATAAGCAGCCACGGACAGCCAACAAGGGGTGGTCTTCCAGCTTGGGGGTAGGGCTAGCAACTCCTCACCGTAAAAATAATTATGTTATGAAAATGAACACAAAGCCTCGGACCTGGATGGATACCTTGGGTAAATGACTTAAGCTAAAGAAAATGGGTATGAGAATTGGCACTTGTATTGTTCGAAGTTTGTATAGGGCAGGTTCGCTCAGGGCAGTGGCAGAAGAAATCTTAAAATATAAGTTAGATTCAGCGGGAGTACAGGAGGTCAGATGAGACGGAGATGGCATCGCACCAGAAGGTGACTGTACATTTTTCTATGGAAAGGGGAATGAAAATCATGAATTAGGTACAGGTTTTTCATACATAAGAGAATCATACCAGCAGTTAAGAGGGTAGCATTTGTTAGTGATAGGATATCATATACGAGGAGCATTCCGTATATGATGCCTCCTTTTTTTTTAATGAAAACTACAACAGCTACAGAAAGCATAATAATGCAGTTAAATAGAGCAAGATTTCAGCTACTTACAGTTATTTTTCCACATAATCACCACCATTCGTTATGCACTTCTGCCAGCGATGAACAAGAGCCTGTATACCGCACCCATAAAAGTCTGCACCAGCAGAGGCTAGCCACTTTCTTACAGCTGCAATGAGAGCATCATTGTCTGGAAAATGTTGCCCACGTAGTCCATCTTTCATAGGCCCAAAGAGATGGAAGTCTGAAGGTGCTAAATTTGGTCTGTAAGGTGCATGTGGTAGGACAGTCCAGCCAAACTTTGCAATGTGCTCTGTGCTCAGTGGTCGCCAAACTGGTATGGGTTCTAGCGTTATCATGTTGCAAGGGAAAGGTTGTCTGCTTCTCTGGCCTGACTCGGGAAATGTGGGCTTTCAGCTTAGTCAGCATCATCTTGTAGCATTCAGAATTGACAGTCTCACCAGGCTCCAGGAAATCCAACAAAATGACACACTGCCTATCCCAAAAGACTGTACAAATCACTTTCCCTGCCGATGGCTGTCTTGAACTTCTTTTTTCTTGGGGAATCCTGATGTCGCCACTCCATGGACTGTCTTTTGGATTCCGGCTCGTGGTGACACCATGTCTCATCTCTGGTGACGATGCTGTCCAGAAACTTGTCACCTTCAGCCTCAAACTGGTGCAACAGGTCTTGACAGACTTCTATTCGATGAGTTTTGTGGTCATGTGTAAGCATTCACAGGACCCACCTGGAGCAAACTTTGCGATATTCCAGCTTCCCCAACATCGTTTCCAGTGCATTACAGCTGATATTAAGCCGTGCACACAGTTCCCTGGTCGATCCCTGCCGATCTGTACGGATGAGCTGATCGAGGTGCTGTTCATTGTGAGGAGTGGCAGCTGAGCAGGGACGCCCAGGGCGTGGCTTGTCGTGCACTTC